ACCAGAGCCAAGCGCCCTGCGTAGCCGGGGCGGACCGGAGCCGCCGGCCGGGGCTGCGGGGAGCCGGAGGCCCTTCAGCAACGGCACCAGCAAAACCGGAGGCCGTGGGGCTTTTGCTTCAGGTTCCTCTTTCGGTTTTCTTTCTTCCAAAACTGCAGTCAAGCTCCAGCAACAAAACAAGCACCCAAGTAATAAACAGAAGGGCTGGGGGAGGGCCTGTGCTTCGGCGGCTGACGGAGCTATACCCCTCACATCTTTAAGCACAGCATCAAATTAAAGCAGCGCAGTGAGATGGAGAATTCACGACACTAAGCTGCCTTTTGCATCCTTTTAAGTACCTGCGGCTGTGCCCAGACAGGTGCTGGTTGCCAACAGCACACGGCACTCATCCTTTCTTTAGCACTGATGTGTTGATGAATACAGAGATGGCTTGCAGAGAAAACACAAGTTAGCCGATGCCTTTCCTTTCTGTGTTACTTACTCAGTGCTTGCTCGTACCAAATATAGTGCAAGCACTTTGTTAGTTACAGATAGAGAAAAAAAAAATTGGTTTGTTTAAACATCTGTGCAGTAAGCACTGCTGATAAAATTGTGTCCCAGGCTGTAATGACATCCCGGCCACAAACTGTAATTTGCATTGGAAGTGCATCCCTGCAATCCTAAGAGAAGTTTTGGTTCCAAAATATTTTCTCCAAGTTTCTTTCTACAAATACTCAGTACAAGTCCGAAATGGAAGTACATTCTGGAGAATCACCTAATCAACTAAACCCACCTGCTTTCACAGCTAAATTTCCCAAAGCATGTAAGCATTTGTATACACGGATGAGAGATCTAGAGAACCCTGGAAGGATACTATCTACTACCTGACATTTAAATTCTGATGGGAGAGAGTTCCTCTGTTAAGTTTTCAGTTCCGAAATTTGCTTATCATGAATGAGCTGTGGCAGAGCTACACAAATAGGAGAAACTGCCTTGCTGGGCCATTGCACACCTCCGGGTCTCACCACTGCTGCACCTCAGAACAGCCACAGCAATACTTCAGGTAAGGTTTTTTGATCTAGAAGCCAAGGAGAACGATCACATCTTTGGGAATACACCCACGTTTCCAGCCGTTTTCTGATCAACTCCTGCACCACGCTTAGGATGAGACACCTTCAGTTTCTGTACGCAAAGAAAAATCTTCAAAGAGAGTTTAGACCAGGGGCATTTAAACAAAATTTCCTTCAGATTTTCATTGAGAGAACTCAAAAGAGTGAACCCCTAATCCAAACTCGGGGCTGGCATATCCCCATAAAAGGAGGATAGGTGTTGAAGTTACGTAAACCACAATACGTTTTCATATGCAAATTCATATTTGTGCACTGCTAGAGAATGCCTGGCCTTTCCATGTGGCAAATTCGGTTAATTTATTCAAGCTTTGATCAACTGAAAGAACGGACATCATAATTACAAACAGTGGTACCTCTTTTTATTAGTACAGACAATGTAAGATGCATAGCTTTTGCAATGAAAAATCATGTCCATGCTCTAAGACATCGGATTAACGAAAGGTCCTCAATGTCTGCCTTGGATAGAGGGGCAAACTTCACAGTGTAAACTGGTAATACAGGGATAATCCTATGGCGTTATTCATAAAACTCCCCGTTGACATTGTCGGACAAAAAAAATCAGCAATAATTAAACAGGATGTGTTTAATTGCAGAATAGTTTCAAGTATTCAAGTACTTATTTTTTTGGTTGTTCAAAACCATCTGCTTCTCCTGCTCCCCCAACTCCTTCCCAAAGAGGCACCAGCCACACGGGTGAAGTTAAGAATGCTTTTTTGCAAGACACCTGAAGTTGTTCTAATGCAGAAATGACTTCCCAGAAGCAAGAGCGATTTTTCTTATTGCAATACTTTTTTTTTTTTTTTTTTTAAAGTAATAAGTTATTACAAGAGAAGTTGCAGAAAGTTTTATGTTACTTGTGGCAATAGGCAATGGAAGACGATGACAGTCTCGCCATTGCATAATTCTCCTCTGACAAATGTGGAAGAATGCACCTAAACCATTTTGTTCCTAGGCAGTCTGACTGCCAGAGGGCAGCTCCGTCACAGTAATCCCACTTAGAAAGAGACCTCACCAGCTCTCCGACGAAACGCCGTTTCCCGTATTTCAGAGGTTTAGCAGCAATCGGGTATTGACCTTGTCTACAAAGTCTACAAAGTGTCTGAGGCAGTCACCAGTTCAAACCACTGTCTCAGCGCATCACTGAGCGTTTCCGGAAGCGCGTTCACATCCCTAAGGATCATGTAGAATGGGAACGGGAATTCTTCCATGTAAGATCTGATTTCAGGCAATTCTCCAGGTCTTTTGAATATAGGTACTTTAATGTCCAAAATGGAATCCTGTCAAAAAGAATTGATAGGACTACTAAACCACATGCATCTTTTACAGGCCTTTAATATTTTTTATCCTATTTTTCAAATACTTATAATTCCTCCTCTGTTAAATTAAAAGTTAACAGAGAGTTTTAAGATTCAAAGCCGTAAGTGTTCAGTGGTAAATCAAATAAAAAGCTGAACACAAAGCAGTTAAATGCTGTCTCCCTTTTAGATAAAAGTGCTCTAATCGACAAATTATAGGCTAGAAGAGACTAAGCTTAAGCTTCTGCGATACCAAGTTCTATACATAAATCCTGTCTTAGTATTTTATGATTTGAGTTTACTGTTATCACTTTAGTTTTATTCATACATTTGATGCCTTTCTGGCACACTGTTATCTGTAAGCTCTTTAAGGCTAAGAGTTCAACTTGCATTTGTGCAGTGATCTAATACAACACGATTCTTTAGCAAATTATTTTATGCAACATTTCAACAAGTACTATGAAGACAAAAAGCAGATTAAACTCCAGTTGTGCTTCTTGTAAAGTAACTTCTTAGTTACTCAGTGTAGCAGCTCAGAAAAATCAATAAAGGTTATAAAAAACACATTTCACTGCCCCGAATTTTCACTTGACATTATAGCTAGGTTTCATCAGAACCTTGTAATAGTTTGTCAGCAAGAGAATTGTTAAATTTTCCAACAATAAATATAGAAGATGACTTTTGTATGGAAAAATAAAGATATAGGAAGAAAACATGAACTACAGCATTAGAGTCTTCACCTAATTCAAAGCAGGGCTTAAGTTTGCTCACTTACTGCACTACAGAGTCTCTCTGAAAAGCTCCCGGATGTTTCAGCTTCCCAGCCAAGGAAATCGTAACAGTTTTCTTTCACAGCGACCAAATACAGTACCCAGCTTTCCCAATTCAAGCACTAACTCACTCTCATATACAACTTCCTGTCTAATGTTTAATCTCATGTTGGGTCCAGCTGCCATATCAAATGGAGACTGCTGTTGGAAATGCTCAATTTGAATCAAAATTGAGACGAACAAAGCATTTCTCAAACTTTGAATTTGTCAGCCTGCCAGCTACTTCTCTGGTGGTCAAAATCTGCAACCATTACATTGGAAGACAGGAGCTCTTACTTAAACTTTCTGTGGCATG